TCCTACGGACCTAGTGCTCTGATACCATGTCAGAATCTAGCAGCAGGAATGAATGAACTATGAAAGGGTTGGGTAAAAGTATGAAACCCTAAAAGGGGCTGTACCCCATATTGGCTACCCCACTACAGCCTAAACATATATAGCATATATATACTTTGACAGGGTGCGACCAAGTCGGAGTCTCCGTGGGCGTCATCTTCAGCAGAAGAGTCATGTGCGAGTCGCCGGTGGTTCCCTAAGCTGTGAAGTTTAGTTGAAGACTCCGTCATCGTCAGCCGCTTTCCCGTTTCTTGTAGAAAAGTTCGAAGCTTTTGTCCTCACAGTCGCTTCGGATGTCGACCCCACACTTCATGAGTTGTGCTGCAGAGAGCATATTAAACTCAAGATCGGGAACGACCAAGACGTCTCCTATATGAATGGTGAAGCATGTGTCCACATTTTCAAGGTAAATTTCTCTGATGTCGTATGCTTTGAGTCGATTGTTCTTTGCGACGGTGATTTAGCACGGCCGTCGCATGCGTTTTGAGTTGCTAATGAAAGTTGGTGATCCCACCTTGTGTTGCCCGCAACAGCTGTCAAGATACCTGGTGTTGTAGTTCTCACGGCTCTGACATGCGATGCCGGCGATCTTTGGAGTGACGATGCGGTCAAGATCGACGGAGTACGGCGCGAGGTCCTTGTAGCTTCTTGCGGGAAAACTAGGAGGGGACTCCGGTGTGCTTGGAGGGAGTTCGAATTCAGGTGAGATATTGGTTGGTCTGTCAATCCAGGAAAAGAGTGGGGTCGTTATCTGGACTTGGTGTGATTGGATCGTTTGGCGTTTCTGGTGGAAACTGAATGTCGTCGTAGTAGCGAAAGCCTATGCGACGCACCATGCAGCTCAAGATTGACCCCTTTCCCTTGTTCTTAGATGAAATCCGTGCAGGAGTTTGCGGGTGGCAACATGGTCGCTGTCGTGGCTGGAGTGGAAGTGGGCACTGAGGGCTGTTGACCAGATGAGTTGTTGCGCCTCTCGTCAGCGGCCTGTCGTTTGTAGCACCGGGAGGAGGGACTCGTGGTAGTACTGATTCTTCTCCTGGATGATTCCTTCCGACGGAAAAGGTAAGCTCCCGTTGTAGTACATCCAGATCTTTGCCGTTGTTGCGAGGAGCTCAAACTCGAAGCTCCACGTGTAGAAATCTTTTCCGTCGAAAGGAGTTGAAGTCTTCAGCTTTAATGTCAATACAAATTTTGTTTCCATTGTTGCAATTGCTTCTGAATGCGCGCGTTGTTGACTGTATTGCGCAGGAGCTGAAGCTTGACGGTAAAAGATATCTCGGAGTTGACGCAGCGGTCTTCTCCAGGGAGAGGAAGTCCAGCAACTCCTCTTGCGTAGCTTGAGCCATCGATGCTCATGGCTTGATGGCTCTCAAGAGCGTTGATGCGAGCGACGAGCTGCTCAACGAATGCGGCGCTGACGGAGGTCGCCGCTGATGGCGCATTAGTTGTTGCTGGTGGTGGGCCCGGAGAGTCTGCAGTGGTTTTCTCTTCAGCAGCCATAGTGATGCAGACTTGTATCAAGTGGTTTAAGGAATAAGTTCATCGAGAGTTTATTCTAGGAAGAACAAGAAATTGGCAGATCTTATCATCCACTCTAGCTCTCATACCATGTTGATGTAATCCGAGAATTGAAGTAGACAAAATAAGACTGCTAAGTTATAAGAAGACAATGAAGTCTTGAAGTAACCTTGTTAATAATAGTTGAAAGAAAACAAGATGATTATAAGATAGAGATACAAGGGTATAAATAGCTATCTAGCTAGCCATGTACTCTAAGGGGTACATTCCCTTATTAACTATATTGCATAGCTACAATAACTGCGGCTATTGCCATTCTCGACAATTACCATGTTGCATCGCGTAATCTTTTTTTTATTCCAACACAGAACATCTCTTGACATGCCTACTTGTACTCCCCTCATATTAGTCAAGGTCATCCGCTTGCCTATAATCTTAAGATGGTATTATGGTTAAGAACGTTCTTAGGCTTCCAATTAACTACCTCGTTTTCTCCTAGCCAGACAGCCCTCCGGTTACTTCGTCAGCCAGCCAATCACCCTCAGGTAGAGCACCCCGCCACTGATTAGCACATAGCGCATAGCCCGCAAGCCGCCCGTGTGCGACGCACTAGCAGCAGCCGCGCGCGACGCGCTAGCAGCAGCTTCACATCCGCGGCCACTGCACTTGTCAGAATCCCAGCCACTAGACTAGGATAAAAGGGCTTGTTAAGTACGGTAGTGGGTCAGCGCGCCTATAACCCCCTAAGCCAACAAGCCTGTAACCCTTCCCTATGATCACACGGGCATCTCCAGTGCAGGTCTTGGTACAGCACGCACTCAGCAACGCGCATGCCACGAGCAGCTAGTAGCAGCCGCACACACTCGCACAGCCGTGCACGCACGCACAACAAGGGTTGCGCACGTGCGCACAGCAACGGCCGCACAAATGCATACAACATTAGCCAAGCGCGTGCACCAGACGCAGTGCAGCAACGCGCGCCCGCTGCCACATTGCGTGCTGCCCTAGCAGTTGCGTGCACCGCCCGCTGCTAGAGCTTGTCATCGCTGCTGCAACTGCCAACTTCTGCAGCCCACTGCCTTCCTACCAGCCTGCGCCCTTACCTACTGCCCCTAACCTGCTGTCAGTCAGCAGCTAGCCAGTAGCTAGTAGGGTACCTCAGAGCCCTCCGCCGCCAGCACCTAGCAGAAGCAAAGTGCCAGCAACTAGTACCTCAGAGCGCACTGCCGTGGAAATACGCACTGCAGCATGCACTACCTTAGCTGCCCTTACCACCAGCTGCGCCCCCGGCCGTGCCTTAACCTTAGTAGCCACCAGCATCACTACTAGCGCCCCAACCCAACCCAATAGTGCTAACCGTCTCGCACTCATCTACTGCCATTGGCACCTCCAGAAGCGGTTGGTAGCCGCCGTCGTATCCACATGCGCGGATTAAGGTTATTGCCCCGACTTGTCCGGCATTCTTGAGCCTCAAGTTCCAAGTCTAGCGTCCCTAGCAGGTTTCTAGCTACAGCCACTTCTAGCTCCAGATGCTCCTGGCTGAAGCCGTTCTTCACTATGACCGTGTCTAGCTCCAGCCACTCCTCGCTCCAGCCATTCCTAGCTCCAGCCGCTCCTAGCTCCGACCGTTTTTCGCACCAGCTGTTACTAGCTCTGGCCGTGTCTAGCTCCAGCCACTCCTCGCTCGAGCCGTTCCCAGTTACAGGCGTTTCTAGCTCCAACTGTTCCTACCTCCAACCATTCCTTGCTTCGGCCGCTTCTAGCTCCAGGCGTTACTCGCTCCGACAGTTTCTAGCTCCAGATGTTTCTACCTCCAACCGTTCCCTGCTACGGCCATTTCTAGCTCCTGCCGCTCCTACGCCCGGTTGGCTTGTGCCATGGAGTCTACTAGAGTTCTGCAGCACCAGGGGCGACTGCAGCGGTAGCAACAGCAATCCATCTGTGGGGGCCTGGTGGTCCAAGGGGCGTCGGCCCCAGCAGCGGCCCAGCCAGCTGGGGGGCTTGTCGAGGTGATCGCGACGTCGGCCCCAGCCAGTACCAGATCCTGACTGGACCTAGTGGTGGCACCAATTCCTGGCGTCCTTACCACTCCGCGTTCCGCCGCTAAAGTCGCCTCGACGACCTCTGTCGTGAGTGTTTTAGGCCTGACTCGACGCCCTTGCAATGTCTTACTTTGTATTGCTGTGGTTGCCGCGTGATTGATATGTCCATGGATGCTCTATTTTGGCATGTATGCCGTGAACTATAATATTGACGGATCTCTTGCGTGTATCTAGCTTAGGATATTTGTCTGTTGCTAGAGTAGGTGCTTGTGTAGTTCCTAGCCCATGTGTGACGACTGCTGATACAGCTCTATCCTTCACACTCCGGTGCGTCCAAGTCCTTCTTGTGCGATCTCACAACTGTCACGCCACTTCCCGCACCAGTCTCACGCTGTACAGTTGGACTGTGCCTCTGTTACATTCAGGAATGTAAAGTACAATTTATTCTCGTTACAGTCTGAACTGCCTCTGAGTGGCTAGGAGTTGCGTTGCCACAAGTGTCATTGTTGGAGAATATAAATGGAGAGATCCACAGATAAGAGAAAGCGCTAGTAGATGTCATGAGATTCCAGTAACGAGGTTTGTCCATGGCGCGAGCAGCCACTAGAGCAGACCCGTTTCAGGGTGTGATTGGTGCCAGTTGAAGACTCTAACGCAGGTAACGAATGTTGGACCCTCTATCATCACACATCACTCCCCCCGTTCCATGGATCAAACGATCCGATTAGGGCATACCCGCCCGAATGCGATTTCAAAAGGGTTTTCGCGAGCTGCCTGGAGATCCTCCCCCAGTGTTTCCCGGGCACGTGGCCAAACGTGCACGACTGCGTTGCCTCGTCCCTCTCACCTGCCCTCCCCTCTCTGCTGCTCATCTTCAGTCGTTCCTGTACCTGCCTCCTTTCTTCCCCACTTCATCACGTCGTCCACCTGTCCAACAGCTCAACCCTACACCACTTGCATTCCACACCCTGATTGTTTAGCGGTAACATCCTGCGCTCACCGTATGCACTCTCGTGCCATACGTCGGCCTTCACGATTTTCGCTTCGCATGTATTCTTGACCGTCCGGGTGGTCAATTTAGCCTCAAGCTCTTCCTGCGGTGCCGATTTTCGCTATCGCCTTTAGAAGTTTCGTGACGACCAAGACGCCGAGGTGGCTCCATCACGAGCGTGCTTAGAGAGATCACCGTCGGCCTTGGCGCCGTCTCTCGCGGCCGTTCCTCGCGAGCATGCGGCATCTGCCGCGGATAGCTGTGTCGCTCTCGTAGACGTCACACTGGCGCGTCTCCATGACCCGTGGGGGCAACCTCAGCCGCAATCGCAGGCGGTGCAGGCGCAGCAGGCGGCGCAAGAGCCGCGACTCGAGCACGGGTTGCGGCAAGATGACGGAGTGGCAACGGCAATGCAGGCCGATCTTAATCCCGCGGGGGTTGCACGCGATGGCGAGCAGCTCGGCGGCCGCGGATTCAGCTCGTGGTGGCTGCACGACCCCACGTTCGTGGACGTGCGCCCCACGCCGCCACCCCGACGACGACGAGGCGCTGTGCTGCCTGGATGGTGGGTGGCGCTGCCGCACAGCCAGGGTGACGATGACGACGACCCGCAAGGTGCGGCCCAAGGGGTGTCGGCGCAGTTCGGAGGGGCAGCGGCGGGGTATGAATTGGCGCACGGGCTACCAGAGTGGTGGATTCACGACGGCGACGAGGACGCCGCTGCAGATTCCAGCGGTAGGGACGACGGTGACGCCGTGGAATGCGGCGTGTGCGAAGAGAGCGGTAGGTTGGACGAGGGATCAGGGGAGTTCGTGGAGTGGGAGGCGAGGGCGGGCGGCGGTGCACGCGCGGTGGATGATCTGGAGCGACGGGCGGACGGAAGAGGAGCCATGGTGGTCGAGGAGGCGGAGCAAGAGAACGGCAGCAACGCGGTGGTGGCTTGCGGTGAGGCAAGGGATGCGGCGGCGTTCCCGTCGTGGCACGATAAGGGCAGCGCTGGCGGGGATGGCGGGGAGGCAAGGCACGCAGGGGGATGGGCGCAGCAGTTCCAGCAGCAGGACGTGGTGATGGCGCGCGGCGATCGTGAGGTGCCCTGCGCGCGGCTCTCGGACATGCACGCGCGCGCGCTGGACTCCGCGCAGGAGCAGTGGGGCGGAGGAACGTCGAGGGGATGGCGGGGGGTGGAACATGGGGTAGGGGCAGGGATGGAGATGAGGCAGGAGCAGGAGACGGGGAGAGAGCAGGAATTAGGTGTAGCGCTGGATGCGGCGAGGGACAGGCAGGGGATGCGTACTATGGGGGGTGAAGGAGGAGGGCACTGGTGGAAGCGGCAACGGCAGCAGGGGCAGGCGAGTGGCGTGGAAGATGAGCTTGCGCTGGGCAACCAGCGGTGGCAGCAGCAGCAGCAGCAGCAGCAGGAGGAGGAGGACGCAGAGAGAGAGCAGCGGCAGCAGCAGGCGAGGCGATTGAGCGAGCAGAGGGGAAGGCTGAGAAACTGCGTGCTGGAAGAGCCGCAGGCAGAGCGGCAGGGCGGTGAGGAGGGCGGCGCAATGCACAATGGGGGCAGTAACAACGTGCTGCTGCCGTCGTGGTGGGTGTCCATGCCACCGCACCAAGACGATTCCACGTGAGCATGTTCACATGTTCAGAGTGTGCTTTGTTTGTGGAGGCAACGTGCTCATGTGCGGCGCAGGAACCATTCCTCCTTGTCATGACTCGTAGAACGGAGTCTAGTTCCTCACAGCTACTTGAGCGGAGGCATGTGTACAGCTAGGGCAGGCAGCCAGAGTTGGAATGGCAGGGCACACTTGAGGAGACGTGGCATGCCTTGTGCAGAGAGGCTTACCTGAAGCAGTGAAGCATAGTTCTGGGTTAGGGTTAGGCTGGTAGAGTGAGCCATGGCAGCAGATAAGAACACTGTCCAGGGCGCAGAGGTTTGCATCAAGGGCATGAGGAAGCAGGCAGGGCAGCAGAATTAGCATGAGCAGCTGTTAATCTGGAAGAGATTGTCTGGAAGGCGGGTACGCCTCCCATGCCTGGACGCCCTCCACCTGAGCCATATGCATGACAAGGTAATTATCACTATTTTTCCTTGCACTTGTTTTTTCCTGCTCCATCGATTTGAAAAAGGTGCCACCTCATGTGCCCATGTCCCCTGCAATCCATTTTCCCTTTGCAGCACTCAGTGAATCCTACTCTTTTGCTCGTGCCACTGTCGTCAGCACCTCCTCATCAGCTGCCGCCCCACCATTGGTTGCCTTGCTCTGGAACAGCCCTAGCAGAATCCGCGCCGTTCTCTGTGTTGGGCAGGGGCAGGCGGTTATACTGCAGTTGAGGCACAACTAGGAAACTGACTGACAGCAGTCTCAGCAGCATTCTGCCGCCACCTTTAACCTAGCTTAGGTCCTAGGCCCTTCGTAGTGTTTTTCCTGGCCCTATGCGTTGGCTTTTGTTTTGCAGTAGGCATTGTGGCAGCCTAGTGGTTGACGGAAGGCGCCCACCCCCAATTGGCAGTCGGAGGCTAGATCGCAAGTACGCATGCACAAGGTTGGGTATGTAACAGAGGTGTTTATTGGAGAGAACGATGAGAGGTGGACAGGTGTTGAGCTGTGATGCCTAGGAGAAATTAACCACAACTCAATATATAAACAGCCGGGACAGATAGCCACTTTTTGATACTTTGAGAGTTAGAGTGGACCCAATATAAAGGGGGTTAGCGCTGTTCGCAATTCCTAAACGCGTCATTTACTAGAGCGATGAGAATGTGAGCATTTTGAGGTGTGTGTGAGGTGGAATTGGATCGGAGCACATCCTCCCACCACATTTTCACCAAAAATCCAGCATAAGCCCACAGCGCGTCCATCCATCACCCGTCCGCCATGGCTACTTCGTCTTATCTTCTCGCCTCCGCCCCCCTGCCTCGTCTCGGAGCCTCCCTGCTTTCCGCGACCCGCTCCGCAACCGCTCCTCGCCGCATTGCACCGCGCTCGCCCGTTGTCGCGGCCGCTGACTCGTCGTCGAGCGCGCAGCACGTCGCGGCGGCGTCCCCCCAGGCCGACCGGCGGTCGCTTCTTCTGGCGGGGCTGGCCCTGGCGTGCGGAGCGAGTGCGGTGGCGGGCGAGGCGAGGGCGGCGAGCTGCGAGCTGACGGCGACGCCGTCGGGGCTGCAGTTTTGCGACACCACCGTGGGCGACGGCGTCGAGGCCGCCGCTGGCATGCTCATCAAGGTGCGCGCCGAGCCGGCTGCCATGGCGCCACGCGTGGGTGGAGGGGCTGCTTGATTGAAGAAGCACGCGCGCTTGCAGGGCGAGGAGTTAATGTGTTGCGTGGCTCGTGTCCGCGGATGCTAATCGCGCGTTGACATGCGCGTGCGTGTCCATCCCCCCACAGGCGCACTACAACGGCACGCTGCTGGACGGCACCGTCTTCGACAACAGCTACCGCCGCGGCCGCCCCCTCGTCTTCCGCGTCGGCGCCGGCGAGGTGCGTGCCGCCCCTCCTCCGCGCTCGCCCTGCTGTTCCTCCACTCCCTTGCGGTTACGTCGCCCCCTTCTCGCCACGGCTTCCCTAGATGCATGTGTGCGCGGTCTGGTACGCGCGCTGCCGCTGCCGCACTTCGGCCGTGAGCGCACCTGGTCCTGCCGTGTGGTCCGCCTGACCCGTCCTGTGCGCTGCTGCGTGTGCGGGACACACGTTCATTATGACAGGGCAGGGCTGTGCTGCTGCCCGCTCATGCGGCGCTGCTCTGGCTGCACGCAGCGCTTGGCGAGCAGTGGCTGTATGACCTCGCGCTCATCCCTCTGCCATGGCGCACTCCATCCCCATGCGCCGCTGCCCCGTGTGTGTGCGTGGCGTGCGCGCAGGTGATCAAGGGGTGGGACCTGGGCATCGTGGGCGGGGAAGGCATTCCCCCCATGCGCGTCGGTGGGTACCAGCACCCTCATATACCCTCCTCGTTTCCCATCACCGCTGCGCCACATGCGCCTCTATGCTGCTGCGCTTTTTGTGCGCTCCTCATGTGCTGCTCATCACGTGATGCGCGCTCGTGCTGCGTGTGTGTGCAGGGGGCAAGCGCACGCTGCGCATCCCAGCATCACTGGCGTACGGTGCAAGAGGCGCCGGGTGCCGAGGAGGTGAGAGTGCTCCATGCCTCCCTGCCCTGCCTACTCCTCACTGCTCACTGTCCCCTGCTCATTGCTCATTCCTCACTGCGCACGGCTTGCTCCTCAGAGCGAGGCATGCGTCACGGATCCACTGCTTTCTTTGGGTTCGCGACCTGCACTCAGTTGAATGTTCACGCTCTTGTCCAGCGCGTAATGCGAATAAGCATCTCTTTTGTTCGGTGTGAAGTCTCGTGCTTGCGTGAAGTGCAATGCAATGAGCTGAGGACTGAGTCATACAGTGGTTGCAACGAGTAGTGTGCTGTGCGTGATACGTACCGTGTGCCCGTCTCATGGCAGGGTCGTGCATCATCCCCCCCAACTCCGAGCTGCTCTTTGATGTCGAGTTCGTTGCCAAGGCGTAGACCTCCACCCATCCACCTCTCTCACCCCACTACCTATTTTTGTTGCCAACTATATCAGGCGTGCATTGCTGACATTTTTCAACCTGGTGTGAAATCAGGCGTGCTCGCCTTGTGTATTGACTCGATTGGTGGAAGCTTTTATTGCTCACGCTAGCACCGTTTGGCACAACAATGCACTGCATGCGCCTAACTGGATGAGGGATTAAAGAGACGGAGAATGCAGCTAGCTATCCCCACAGCGGAGCTCTTATTGTGTCACTGGAAACATACGATGAAGGCCAGAAGAGAGGGTGTAGTGAATGTCAGCCAAACGTGGCAGAGGTGGATATAACCTGGATCAATGTTGACCTGGCTTGGAGCTACGTATGTACAGCATCACGTGTCTTGGGAGTGTCAAATTCACTCCTAAACATACGGTAATCAACGTCACACCTGCTCTAGCACCAGAGGGCAATCCATCCATCCTGTCTCCCTCCCATCCCTATTCCAGCCACAGTGCCAATCCCACTAGGAGTCCCCTCCAACCCTGCACTAAGTGCTGCAGGAAGGAGCAGTGCAGGGCGAGCAAGCATGAGGGATTGATGCATGCAGTGCAGTCCTCTCCATGTACCGTATGTACAACAGTAACCATACCGCCATCCACGCTCCTTTCACTCTGAGGGCCGCGAGCTGCAGGGAGGAGAGAGAGTGCAGGAGAGATGACACGGGCCACGCAGCAAGCACAGAAGAAGCAGTGGCGCTGCACTCACATGCGCGACCTGCTGTGCTGCGACGAGGGGCTGGGCGTGGTGGCGGTGATGAACTCGTGCATGCGCTCGTTCACCTGCTCCTGCTCGTCCCACATCACCCAGTGCGACGCCTGCCATGCACCACACACCACACACCATTGCCGTCTACTGCATGAGTCGCACCATCTGCATGTGTGCAATAAAGCTTGAGAGGTGAATGCGGGTTGATGCAAGCTTGTGCCTCTCTGTGTCCACATATGGGCAAAGGGAGGGACGCTGGCCGAAAAGGGTGCGGATGGTGTGGGAAGGCGGGCAAGGGGCGTGCCTGGGGGAAGTGGACAACGCGGCAGTCGGGCACGAGGGCTGGTGGCGGCTGGGAGAGGTCCGGGTTGAATGCCCAGTCGTCATCGCCCCACAGCATGAGCACCGGCACCTCCACCTGCACGCGGATCATGGGGTGGGGAAAAAGGGCGGCACGCGATCACATGAGGCGGTACCAACCATGGTGTTGCTGCCTTCTCAGAGCACACATATGAGCTCTCTCAGAAGAGCAAGCAGCAGAGAGAGGTGGATGACGCAGGGGAGGATGGGAAAGGGCAGAGGTGCATGTGGGCATACAGTGGCGTGGGAGGTGTCGGGGCGGAGCCAGTGCTTGTGGAAGGCAGCGCGGTACAGGTTGATGGCGCACGTGAGCGCGCCCGGGATGGAGAACGCTGCCACGTGCCTGGTGGAGGGGACAGGGCGAGACGGAGGCAGGCGGGACATGGGGATGCGATGGTCAGTGGACGGCTTGCTGGCAAGCTGACAGCGGCTCATGCACGGCACTCAATGTGCGCCCCAGCCACCTTCATGAACAGCACCCGGCACGCCAAAGCCAGAGGCGCACGCGTGCCATCCAGCTCCTCCCGCATCCCACAATCCCTTCACCCATGGGCTGCTTGGCCCCATCCACATCAACGCCTGCTCAACCCCACCCAACACCCCACTTTTCCTGCAAAACCACAACCCCTCCACCCTCGTTCCCTCCTTTCCCATCCGTCCGTACACCCATCCCTTCTCTTCTTTCCCCCGCCCCACCAACCCCTCCACCCCCCCATTGCACCCCCTTGCGCACCGCTGCACGTCGTCTTGGGTCTGCGGCACCTTGGGGTCGCCCTGGACGACGCCGCGCAGCATGTAGAAGCTGACAGCGCACAGTAAGCGCACCACATGGCGCACACACGCATGGACAAGAGAGCAGCAGAAGGGGCGGGCAGGGACGTGAAAAAGGGAGAACAGGAAAGACATGAGGGACGGTGGCGACAAGGATTGAGAAAAGGACGTAAAGGGAGATGGCAACAGACGCATGATACGGCAGGGTACGCGGTGCATGGGTGTGAGGGGGGCTGGCGAGGGCAGCGCGGCACTGACTTGCTGAGCGACATGAAGGCCTCGCCCAGGCTGCCCAGCTGGAAGAGAACTGCGCACGGGGGGAGGGGGGGAAGGGGATGAGTGAGTGTGCGGAACACGGGGGTGGTGGAATGAACGGAGGAGAAGCGGCGTATGGGACAGGGTGGGGGCGCGCAGGGACTCACAGATGTACCAGCTGCGCCGCATCTGCGTGGGCTTGGAGCGCAGGGCGTCACCGAAGGCGGAGGGGTGAGGCATGTTGCAGATGACGAGCGCGTGCAGCAGCGCGGGGTGGTCGTGTGCGAACTCCCACGCCACGTTGCCTCCCCAGTCATGCCCCACCTGCTCGCCCTCGCATAGCAACATGGACGTGCGACATGCAGGGGAGCAGCGTGAGGGCATGGAGACATGCAGCACCACGCACTCTGATTTGCGTCCTACCAGCCACCTCAGTGACCAGCAATGGCTGAATTCACGGCACCACCCTCCCCCCACACACGACCCGCGGGCAGCCTACCAGCACCATCTTGCTGCGCGCCTGCCCGTCCGCGTCCTCCCGCACGCCGAAGTGCGCCGCCACCGCCGCCACGTCCGACAGCAGCGCCGCGCGGCTGTACGCCGCGACCTCCGGCGGCTTGCCCGACCAGCTGTAGCCGCGCAGATCCGGCGCCACCACGTGGTACCCGCGACTGCCCTCCGCACGGCGCGCAAGAACGAGAAGAAAAGAGACGAAGGGAGGAGAACCGCACATGGGTTAAGTTGAAGGAGCGGTGAGAGAGCAGCGGGCGAGGGATGGTAGCGAGGGGCGCGAGGGCACGCACCTGGCGAAGAAGTGGAACTGGTGCTTCCATGTGTACCAGAAGGACGGGAAGCCGTGCAGACACAGCAGCTGGGGAGGGGGGAGAGGCACGCGGGTGCACGCGAGGCACAGCGGGACGGAATCAGACGTTGGGAGAAAACGTGGTGAGGGATGGACCAAAGGAACCGGGAGGAGAAAAGTTGACAAAGCGGAAGAGGAGCGACACGCGTGCGCGCGGATGGCGCACGGACCAGCGGGCCGTGCGGTGCGCCGCAGTGCACGTAATGTAGCTTGACGTCGCCGTTGCTGACGTAGCCATGAGTCACGTCCTGCCCCAACACGCACTCCACCGCGCCTTCCGCTGGCGGCTCCTCGCCCATCGCTCTTCCTCTTCTTGCTGGATCCGTGCACTCGCACCCAAACACGTCTTGCCTCTTCCCCTTCCTTCCGCACCTCCGGCTTAGTTCGCCCTCTAATCTCGAATTCCCTCGATTACACCTAGCCCAGTGCTACCAGATCAGAATGTGTGCAGTAAGTCGGGACCGCGGGACATACATGCTAAGAATGGCCTGAACCACTGAGGTGGGGGACTGCTTGCATTCGAGTTCCCACAAAAAAAAATTGCATGTCTCCGTTTGTGAATGCAACTCGCATTCCCAGAGTGAAACGATTGCGATTGCGAGACCGGTTGATTATGAAACTAATTTGTTTTTGCCTATTACCGTATGTTCAAACCTCAAGTGAATGAATGAAACTTTCTGCTTACAATCTGTACTTGGCGTGCTCAGACTCACTTGAGAAAGCATAACACTTTGGTTATGTTGGCGGATAAAGAAAAACAAATCCCACTGTTCAAGGTTCTTCATAACCAAACAGGTCTAAGAGTGACAGCACAGCACCATTCGTCCAACCAAATCCAACCTGCGAGACGGAGACGGATTTAATGTGAACAGCAAATGTGGCGGAGCATTCACACAACATGACGGATATGCATGCTGTATACTGCACGGCACTGAAATTAATGCAGAGCGATACGGGATTGAAACGAATGCAGTGGCGTTCTGATTCCCATAAGGAACACATTGGGGGTTGGGCTCAGTTTGAAAGAAATGCAATCCATACGAAGAAGAGGGCTTATGCACAGGCAAGGAGCATGGAAGAGAGGCGAGCAAGGAGATGCGAAGGAGGCGCACCTGTGGGTTGTACTCGCCTCCACTTCCCACGGCGCCCCTCTGCCTGCCGTCGTACTTCTCATGCATGGCCCCCGTGCGCTCAAATGCCTCGCGTGCCGTGGCCAGGAAGCGGTGCGCGAGGGGGCGTGCGAGAGCAATTGCACGTGGCGTGGCAGTGAGGAGTAGGGCCTCGCATATGGCATGGTGCAAGGGTGGCCACACGTTGGGGTAGTCCCTGGGGGAGACCACGGGCAGGGCAGAGCGAGGATCAGAGGGCAAGAAATGAAACAGTCTGAAGAAATGAGGGAGAGAGGAGTGGAAGGAGGGAAGGCAGTACAAGAACAGAACAGAACAGAACACAGCTCTGCGTGCAGCAATGACTCACCACTGCTGCCCCGTAAATCTCGTTGATGTGGCAATGCCAGCTGGCAGCAACAGATTGGAGGACTGCAGCGATGCAACGACAAGGTCGATACGGGGGTCACCTGTGGATAATGGGGCCAGCGGGGTAGAGTGGGGTGAGAGCGGTGAGCGGCAGGCGGAGGCCCAAGGCACATGCATGGTGGAGGGTGTGACACAAGCAAGGGAGGCCATGCTGAAAGGGGACCCAGCCGCATGTACCAGGAGGCAGGAGGCCGCACCACAGGGGGATGTAATCAGATGCGTACACATCGCCTGATGGCGCAGTCCCTTGCACTGCCCCTCCGCTGCTGCACCACAGCACGAATGACAAGGGGAATGGCCGCAAACAGTCACAGGCGGGGCAGTGCGCACTATGTGGTAGGAAGGCAGGGACGTGCATTATGAGAAACAACAAGCAGCCTTTAGGCACAGATCCGTGGGTGCCATGTCCCACTGGTGTGCCGGGTTGTACGCACAATGCACTTGGGCCTGCAAGGTTGCACTAGGTGTGTGGATAGGGGAGGTTGTATCAGGTGGAGGCGAAACGGTATTGGGGGTGTTTTGTGCATTACGTGCTGGAAGGAAGGCGATCGCGGGTGGCGGGTTGGAGTGAAAGTGGTGAGACAATGGGAATGGGACTGTCGGTGAAGGAGGGGCTGCTGGTGCACGGCATCCGGTACCTGGCACAAGTGCTGGCGTCGCAAGGTGGTGCCACAGCCACCCATTCATGAGCCGCCTGGAGCAGGAGGGAGGGTGCAAGAACACATGGGATAGCACTGGTGGTTGTGAGAGATGGACATGAGCTGGAATGATGGATATGTGCTGGAAGGATGGATATGTGCATGAAGGTTTAGATTACAAGTTTAGTTTTCCTCTGCTTTCCAACTTCATGCACCGCACTCACATGCACCGATGCTGGCCCTGCTCCAGCTCCCCACCCACACTCACAGCATCTGCAGCAGTGCCACCTTCCTCCACACCCCTGCCCCCCGGTTGGATCCAGACATCCCTCCATCGCCCCACTTGCTCGTTGCCACCCCCTGCCGCTCTTCCTCCCTCTGCTGCTGCGTCACCTACCCCTCCTCCCCCCTGCGTCTGCTCCCCCTGGCACCACATCATCACGTCCATGGCCTCCCTCCTCCGCTCCGCCAGCACCCCAAAGCGCGCCGCCACCTCTGCCAGCCATGCGCCACTCACTGCTGCCGCCTGTGCCCCCTGCAGTGATGGCATGGCAGTGGAGAGAAAGGTGAGGGAGCCGGGGAGTGGGGATGGACGGAATCATGGAGCAGCCATGCCGACAGCGAATGCAGGAGCGGTGCAGAGGAGGGGCAGAAAGAAGCAGCAGGGAGAGGGGCTGTGCTATCACCTCAGCAGGCGCAGCAGTGGCAGCGTGGGGGCAGGAGGAGAGGGCGGAGAGCAGCGAGGTGGCGAGCGCGGCGACGTTGGTCTCGAGGTGGAAGAGCAGCGCGTTGAGGTCCGCTGGCAGTACTGCCGTGGGGTGGCTGCTCGTCAAGTCGCTGGGGTCACTGTGCGGGCAGCAAGACACAAGGGTGCACACAGAACGGCGAGGCAGGGATGAAGCGTGGCATGAGCGGTGGCATTGGAGAGGGAGGTGGGGACGAGGGAGAGCGTGCAGGGGAGGAGCAGCACGGTGGGGGTGAAAGCATTGGGGTGAAGAGAACCAGAGGCAACGCAATGAAGATGCAACTGTCACGTATGCTGGGGGAGCATGTGAAAGGTAGGAAAGACAAAAACCTTTGTGTACTTAGTGCTAACTGTAATGATGTAAGGTCCCGACGCAGCATACAGACAAGGGGGCGAGAAGGGGGAGAGGCGAGGGGAGCGGTGTGACGGACCGCATCCAGCGCGAGCTGAAGTCCCAGCCTGACTCTGCCACCGTGGCCAGCTCCCTGAACAACGCCGCCTGCACCTGCCAGGCCCCGCACGGCGAGGTGGCGTGGTGCTGCAGATGCTGCAGGGGGCGCTGCGATGCCAGGCGCGCTGTCTCCGTGTCCTGACAGGCAGGACGGCTTGCAGTGCGTGGTGAGACAATCACACACATGGTGACAGCTAAAGGCAGTGGCCCTCATACACGGACACACGCATCACGGAAGGGAGGTGTCTGCGGGAAGAAAAGACACCTGGAGAGCCTGAGAGAAGGAAACAACGAGAACGTTTGGAACCCGAGGGAATGAGAATGGCAGCTGGGGAGAGCAGAATGGCACCTGAGGGAAGGATTCAGGGCGAGGGCGGGTCCACATGGCATAGTAGCGGGAGAGGTTGAACGAGCGCCCAGAGGGAGGGTGGTACACTGTGATGCCATGCGGTGCTGTTGGGGGAAGTACAGGTGGTGTACGGTGGCTTGACAGCAATAACAGAATCAATGCGACAAAATAAAAATTGCAAGGCAATGCCCACCCTCTCGCTGCATCACGGCCTTGTGGCAGCATACAAGGGTCCAGCAACGCATGGACACAACATCTCAGCATGCGAGCAGTTACGAATGTGGCTGCATCACTTCCCACCTATATATGGCTGTGGCCCAGCTCGCTGCGCCTCTCACCTTGCGTCCAGAACTCATGCTCCCTGACCAGCACTGGCACTGCCTCCCTCAACAGACTCTCCGCCTGCTCGCTGCGCCCCATGCCTGCGCCCTCACTCCCCGCTGACGCCTCCCCATCCTGCTGTGCGTGCTGGCCATGCTCTCCCTGCCCTTGCGCCTGCAGCGCTGCATGCACTGCGCGCACCATGTGACTCAGCAGTGGCGGCTGGCTGCCACATGCAGGGAGGGGAGAAGGGAGGGGGGAAGGGGAGAACAGGGAGAGAGAGGGGAGTATAAGTAAGTGAATCTAAGATGGGAAAAGGTTGGTAAGGATGGTGCAGAAAGAGGAAGAGCATGATGATGAAGTACGCAGACGGAGGCGATGGGGAAGAAGAGCAAGAGGGCTGATGGAGGGGAGCGACCTTCTATTGAGGTAGTAAGCGCGGGAGCCGTTGGGAACATGTGCGTGCGTGCGGGCGAGATGCAGCAGGTTGCGCACGGCCGCCAGGGCAGAGTCCAGCATTCCACTCACCAGCAGCCCCCTGCACATGCATGCACCACAGGGATGGGCACGGACGCACAACACAAGTGCAGTGCCATGAGCACTTGCTGCTGGTGCCCACCGCTCTTCACGGCTGAGCCAAACGTGACATGCTGACAGCTGTGAGAGTGTTCCCAGCACGCACCTGATGACCCAGTAAGTGTCCCAGTAGTACATCTCCCTAAACCTCTCCCCCGGTATTATCACCGGCGCATGTGGCAGCGCCAGCAGCGAACCTCCCTGCATCACCAGCCCATCATGCGGTGCTCCCCTCCCCTGCCCCCCGTCATCCTGCTGCTGTACCTCAGGCGCCGCCCCCGCGTCGACTCCCCGTTCCCCCCATGCACTGCGCTTTGAATCAGCGCAGGGGGGATGCGCGCTGGGAATAGCTGGAAGGGCGCGCACAGGATGGGAGGCCGTGGCAGTGGCAGCGGCGGTGGAAGGAGGGGCAGTGCGGAAGGAGAGGAGCGGCCAGAGGCGATGCACGGAGAGAGCCCACTGGCGGGTTGGCGGGTGGGCGACACGCGGGAGGAAGGAGGGCGGATGTGGATGGAAGTCAGGGGGAGTGAAGGCATGAAGATCCGCGCCTGCCGGCGCCAGGTGCTGAGACACGATTCGCCGAGCTTCCTCTGCCGATAGCTCGTTGGCTGCAAAAACCAGGGCAGAAGGCGTGGAGAGAGAGACAGGCCCGGGTGGGGAGGGCAGACGGTGGGAAAGAGGGCGACGAGGATGGCGTGGAGAGGTGGGCCAGCAAGCAAGTAGCTGCGCGAGGCGGGAATCGACAAAAAAAAGCACACTAGGAAACGGGAGATTATAGCTTTGCCACGGCCAAGGCACCGTCACATCTCTCAGTTCTCAGCATTCCCCCATCCCACTTTCAAGTCCCCTACGCTCCTCCTCGCCCCCACGCAGTTCAGCAGCCCAATCCGTTGGAATGCCTCACCTGCAGTAAGCGCGAGTCTGAGGGCGTCAACGCCAGTGAGCACGGCCATGTCAACGATGCTCTTGGCGTCGTCAAACGCGCCGCTGGCCCACAGCCGCGCCAGCACGTCCTCGCACTGCCACACGGCCTGCACGTCGCCTGACGGGTCCTCCATGGGAGCTGGTGCGGTGTGAGGACCGTGAGAGAGTGCAACTGCAGAAACTATTGTTGTCTTTCCTAGTTTCTTTCCGATGAGTCTCCCGTGTTTGAGAGGGGCTCAGGCCGTTGTACATTCGTAAATTTTAGGTCAGAATCGAACCTGCGCTCAATGTCGAGGGACATGCCACTCCCAGCCAGATTGAGCCTGCATTTAGCGTAGCTCGAGCCTCACTCTGCTGGCAGGGAATTGACCTCCGCGAGAATAGCATCCAAAACCAGCATGCACGTCGCGAGAAGTGGACCCGCACAACCTGCGGTTCGCAGACGTTAGGTGCTGGCAACGGGAATAGATGGGCCGCTCGTGACGGGATTGAGAGGGCAAAACAGGAGACGCTTGTACAAAAAGTTGGCACCAAGCCACGATTTTGCCACAGGGCTGTCGCTACAAGTATTCGCGACAGGCCTTTCAGGGTTGGGTTCGTGTGGGACTAGCCCGGATTTCCAGTATACAGAAACCTCACATTCAAACCTTCAGAACGATGCCCCTGCTAGGCTTGATGCCCCTGCCATGATGTGTATCAATCCCGTCATTGCATAACGCATGAGCCTTTTATTGCTGTATGTGTATTTGCACGTTATGATTTTTTCCTTCATTGTACTTCTAGTGTATGCACCAACTATTACTCGCTATCTGTACACGTTTGGCTAAAGGTTCAAAGCTATAAACATAAGCGAGGTTTTGTATACGCTGTTACCATCTGGATGGAGTCTTGGGAAAAGGGTGCCCTAGTTGTGTGAGGTCCTAGTCACACGTGTCTTCTGTGAGTGTGGTTCGGGAATAGGTTTGGGAATCCGTGCCGTGACCAGCCCAACCTTCCCTCTCTCCTCCTCTCGAACCAGGAGGAGCCTCCAGAACAACTTGAGCCACAAAGTACGCAGGGCAAAATTAGCCGCCAAATGAGAAAGGGAATCTTCCCACGTCAGCATGCACTTCATCCCGAACCCGGACGCCTCACCCAATCCAATCCAGCCATCCGTCCGTTCCACTTCGCTCCAATCTCGATGTGCTCTTCTGGTGCTTCCTTCTCCCTTCCAAAACATCCCTTTTCGGCCTCCTTTTGATTCACCCAGCGTACTACCAACCAAGGAGTGCTGGCACCCCAGCCCTGTCAGCCTTGCCCTTCTAAGTAAGACATGGCCCTCTACGCTGGCGTTGGTGCTCGATTGCACTGTCCCAGGCTCAGCTCGCCAGCCACGCCCGACTGTTCTACCACCAGCAGTCGCAAGCAGCCTCGATCGCAGCGTGTGATTGTGCCGCGGACAAGCGGTTCACAGCCAGGCAATAGCGGATCGCTCGCCCATCTCCTTCCAGGAATTCCTTGTATCTGCCGCGGGCAGTGCGCTAACCGACGAGGCGTCACACGGTGTGATGGGTCTACCCAAGTCGACCAGCACGCGACAGCGCGCTTGGCTGCCGCTGAGCCGAGTCAAAGTCACGGCTTCATTACGCACGCACCTGCGAACGGGCACGTCACACTGGATAACGGTGATTGCGCCAATTCTGCGGCCGCAATGCCTGACGATGGGAAGAGTAGCGGCACGGGCGTGGCGGTGCTAAACTGGTCCGATCCGAGGTTGCAGGAGGAGCAGGCGAGCAAGGACACTGGGTGTGAACAAGGGGTAGGGACGGGCGACGCCAAGGGTCTGGGCATCGTGGAGTTCCTGCGGGGCAAGCACATCCTCGTCACCGGCGCCACCGGATTCCTCGCTAAAGGTGACTCCTTGACTTCTCTGAAGCAGCGCGCTTCCGTGTCACCATGCCTTCAGCGCTACATTAGGTGTCTTACTTGGCGGGTAATCAGCCGGCGTTCCTGCCCCCTCCGCCGCACCATTCCCGTGCGTGGTTGGCAGCCCTGGTGGAGAAGATTCTGCGCGAGCAGCCCGACGTGGGACGCCTGTACCTCTTCATCCAACCGCGTGCCGACCAACCCGCGCAACAGCGCCTCGAGCAGGTACCCCTTCTCCACCCGCTCGACTGCTCCCCCTCCTTCCCAAGCTTCGTAAAAAGCATGATCGGGCTTAAAAGCAACGTACTCGGACACACCGAAAAAGGCGTGAACATCCCATTAACGGGGAATTTCGAGAGAGGAAACTCATAGTCTCTCTCTGTGTTGTCACCTGTCTGCACCTGTAAGCAAGGCAGTCTTGCTTTTTGCGACTTCAAATGCGTATACGCAACTGGACTGACATTTCCTTGAACTTTACGATTGTCGCAAAAGTCCGCTAAGCTCGTTACACTCGTCTAACTCACAGCCACGGCACGTTAAACTTGCGAATCCTTAACGCAGCGAATTTGGACTTGCCACATTATATCTCCCTCCGTCGCGCCCTCGCGCCCTACCTCTCTTCCTCCCGCCCGCCCACCCTGCCTCCCTCCTTCCCACCCACCCGCCCACCCTCCCTCCCTCCCTCCCGCCTACCCACCCTACCTCCCTTCCTCCCACCCGCCCACTCTCCCTCCCTCCCTCCCTCCCTCCCACCCGCCCACCCTCCCTCCCTCCCTCCCTCCCTCCCACCCGCCCACCCCCCCTCCCTCCTTCCCACCTGCCCACCCTCCCTCCCTCCCTCCCACCCGCCCGCCCTCCCTCCCTCCCTCCCTCCCTCCCTCCTTCCCTCGTTCCCTCCCTCCCTCGCTCGCTCCCTCCCTCCCTCCCTCCCTCCCTCCCTCCCTCCCTCTCTCCCTCCCTCCCTCCCTCCCTCCCTCCCTCCCTCCCTCCCTCCCTCCCTCCCTCCCTCCCTCCCTCCCTCCCTCCCTCCCTCCCTCCCTCCCTCCCTCCCTCCCTCCCTCCCATCCCTTCCTCCCTCCCTCCCTCCATTGCTCCCTCCCTCCTGCACTCAGACTACAAAGCAACATAACACGCACTCGCACACAGTCACACACACCCACCTGCTCCCTTCCCACCACACACTCCTCTCCCCCTCATGAGTGTGGTTTCATCCTCCTCCTCGATCTTGCTCACCGCTGCAGCTCGTGGAGAGCCCAATATTCGGGCATTTGCGGTCAAAGCACGGCAGCGCGTATGAGCAGTTCATGGCAGCAAAGCTCGGCGCAGTGGAGGGGGATATTTCCAGAGAGGGGCTTGGCCTGAGTCCGTCTGTGTTGGAGGAGATCCGCAGCAAGGTGCAGGTGGTGATCAACTCCGCTGCCACCACCACCTTCGATGAGAGGTGCTTCTCATATTCTATGCACTCGTAAATATACTCTAAATGTGTCTAAACGTTCGGATCTTTCTAAATAAACCATGTGACATGCCTATCCCTATCCTTTTCTGCGCTTACCTTGTATCCCCCCACTTCTCTTCCTCTGTGCTGTCCTTCTCCCATGCAGGTACGACGTGGCCCTGAACATCAACACGCAGGGACCGCGCCGCCTTCTGGAGCTCGCCCATTCCTGCCCACACCTCCAGCTCCTCCTGCACGTCTCCACAGGTTCACCTCTCCTCCTCAAACTCTTGTAGCTCAACAGGTCTCCCCACTCCCGCACGCACGTTTGATTTGTTAATGTTCTGTAAAATATCACAAAGTTTGGTATATGTATGTGTATATGCATGTATATTTTGTTTTCTGGGTGTACAGCATTTGTGAACGGCAGAAGACACGGTCGCTGCATGGAAAGGCCCTTCAACTATGGGGACACGATTGCTGCAGAGCTGCAGCAGCAGCACAGCACGGTTGCACAGGGGCAGCTGGATATCGAGACAGAAATAGCTCTAGCGGAGAAGGAGAGGCTGGCAGCAGAGGCCGCAGCTGAAGCGCGGGGAATGAGCAAGGAGGATGTGCAGGCTGCAGTGCAGAAGCACATGGTGGACCTGGGCATGAGCAGGTTCGTTGGCTGTCCACTCCCTTGCATCCACAAGTAGTCTCTGTCATTTCTCACTTATCTTGGCCTTGCATCCTGACCGCCCCAGCATGCTGTGCTGTATTATTCCCTGTGTACCCATTGGCCAGGGCACAGCAGTGCGGGTGGCAGGACACGTACGTGTTCACCAAGGCCATGGCCGAGATGGTGCTCACGCGTGGACACAAAGACTTGCCCCTCGCCATCGTGCGCCCATCCATAGTGGAGAGCTGCTTGAATGAGCCCATGGCGGGCTGGATGGAGGGCATGCGGTGAGTCATGTTGGTCAGTGCAACACTTGCCCGCATTGGGTCTAAAAACGTTACCTGAAAATTGCAGCTTTACATTCTCAAGCTCATGTCTAGTCTTTTTGTGAAAACTCGTGTTTTTAAATCAGTCGTTTACGGACTTCTTTATTATTCGTCAAATCATTTTCTGACCTTCAAAACTGCTTGCACTCCTTTTCCACCTGTTGTTTGACGTTTGACCATTTTTACTTTAGGCAGTATGGCGGATCCAATCTTGCTTGCATACGGGAAAGGACAAATGGCAGGGTTTTTGGCAAACCCGGATGGTGTTCTTGACATGGTATGATGCTGCTGATACCAGACTTTCTGCATGTTCTGATACCGTGTGGTGCCTGTACGCAGAGCTATTCCCTTCTGCTACCTTATTTATCTCATCTTCAACTGTGTTGCAAAAGTCTCCATTGTCATTGGCATGCCCATTGGTTTGTGGCTTGTTGAACTGATGGTATGCTTGGCATGTCTCTCCCCCATGCAGGTTCCATGTGACAAGGTTATAAATGCCGTGCTAGCGATCGCAACGCACACAGCATCTCTGGGGTATGGGACGCCTGTCTCTGTGTACCACGTGGCCACCAGCGTGGCCAACCCTCTGGGCATCCAGCTCGTGGCAGATGCCACCTCGGACCACTTTGCCCACTCGCCCATGCTGGAACGCGATGGCTCTGCTGTCACCGTGCAGCGCATGCAGGTGTTCCGCCACCCGCAGCTCTTCATGCTCGACGTCTGGCTCAAGTACCAGCTGCCGCTGCAGGTGCGTGCACATCAAGTGCGGTGGGGTGCGAGCTATAAGTGAGCTCGACTTGACCACAGTGAATGGCAGAAACCGAACAGTTGCAGGGGCGACATTATGGGACGAAAGCCAGTAGAGCACAGGTAGTATTTTGGTACAACAGTGACGATTTTATATCCTTCTCATTTGTCTCGTGTCCCTTGTACGTGCAGCTGGCCAAACTCTTCCCTTGGAACTCATCCCTTTCGGATCGCCGCAACAACCTTCTCCTGAAGACAGCACAGCAACTCAGCTACTTGGCCAAGCTATATGAACCCTACACCTTCTATGCTGCCAGGTACTGCTTCTGCCCCTTGTAACCTCAATTTCCATTTCCCCTCTTCACCCTCGCTGTCCCCACCCCCCCTCTCCCTCCCCTCGCCCTCCCTTCCCGCCCCCATTTTTTTGGAGATCGATGACTTCATTATCCTCAAATGTCCTCAAGTTCGTTCATTATCTTACGGTATCTTGTTGCCTCCAGGTTTGATGCATCCAACACAGAGCACCTCTTTTCATTGATGTCTGAGGAGGAGCAGCAGCACTTTAACTTTGACCTGCGGTCCATTGACTGGCACGCTTATCTCTGTAATACCCATCTACCAGGCTTGCGCAAGTTTGTTCTCAAGGGACGCGGTTCATCCAATCTTTCCTGAACAAAAACTTGGCCTGCCCTGTCTCTTTTAGATGCGTGATTTTCCATCAAGCAAGTGTATCCCAGTCAATAAGGCCATCCTACATCAGCCCTTGTTGTAGGAAGATTTATATTATTTTTTTAGAGTTTTTTTTTGTACGTTCAGGTCCTAGATATCAGCCTTTTTACGATAATTTAGCGTTAGGTCGCACCTTTTTTTTGTTTAAACACTATGCTTGTTATTAGTTGTAAATCAGAGTTGCGCGGAATAACAAATACCGTAATCTCCCGGATAGTAGACCCTAGGGTCTTATGTAAAAATCATAAAAAAATAGGGGGGTCTTGTCAACGGCACAAGATTGTATAGTACCCGGGTCTTATTAAAGCCCGGGTACAGCATGGTAATTTTCAAGTTCAAGATTCTTGAACTTGAAATCGTCAAAAACAGGGTTACCCTACTTTTTTCTTACAGAACTCTCGCGACTCTGGACAACGCCTAGCGACACTCTCTCCTCATTGGCCTTTGTGCACAATCGCAAAACAGAACCGAGCGTCGCTCATGTTGGCCCGCTGTTTGGCTCGCACATATCTTGATCACCTAGTAGTACCCATGACCGGCCTAGGCTCTCACGTAAGTAGAAAGCCAGTGCGTCATCAGAAAGTACCACGTGACCGCGATTTTTACGGCAACTCACGTCACTCATGCTGTCTCGTCAATAGCTGGGCAGCACAAGCCTAGTGTCGCACAAGATATTTACATACGTCTGAGCCAAACGAGTGCGACTCCATTCTACCCCACGTTTAGCGCGAGTCGTCACCCGCGCTCCCCCTCCAGGGTTTAGCCCGCCCTCGTCACTCGCGCCCGCCCTCGTCACTCGCGCCCGCCCTCGTCACTCGCGCGGTGGCCGGGATAGAATGCCTCCCCTCGTCACGCGTTTCCATTCGTCACCCGCGCTCCCCTTCGTCACGCGCGTTTCCCTTCGTCACGCGCGTTTCCCTTCGTCACGCGCGCTTCCCCTCGTTGCGCGCTCTCCCCCCCTCGTCACGCGCGTCTCCCCTCGTTACGCGCTATCCTCCCTGGTCACGCGCGCTTCCCCTCGTGAAGGGCCGAGGGGGAGAGACAGAAGGGGAAGGATGGAGGGGGAGGAACAGAGGGGGGAGGGCAGCAAGTGGGAGACGAAGGGTGAGAGCAGGTTCTTCCCTCACTCCGTCTCCCCATCAACCTCAATTTCCATCAAGTGTTTACACCCCTCTTTTCTCGACCAACCTCCCTTACTCCCACCAGCTCTGTTTACCCCGCAAACTAACATCCTTTGCCTCACCTGCTTCCCCCCTCCCTCCTCCCTGCTTCCCCCCTCCCTCCTCCCTGCTTCCCCCCTCCCTCCTCCCTGCTTCCCCCCTCCCTCCTCCCTGCTTCCCCCCTCCCTCCGCCCTGCTTCCCCCCTTCCTCCTCCCTGCTTCCCCCCTCCCTCCGCCCTGCTTCTCCCCTCCCTCCTCCCTGCTTCCCCTCTCGCTCCTCCCTGCTTCCCCCCTCCTTCCTCCCTGCTTCCCCCCTCCCTATGTCCTGCTTCCCCCCTCCCACCGCCCTGCTTCCCCCCTCCTTTCGCCCTGCTTCCCCCCTCCCTCTGCCCTGCTTCCCCCCACCTCCGCCCTGCATAACCCCAGCCTCATAGAGGTGCGCGTCACGCACCAAGTGAGCCTTTGCTTTCCCCATATGCCACCCCTCTACCTCGATCTCACCATCTTTCCTCTCCCTCCCCATGTACCTCTCCTCTCCCTCCCCATGTACCTCTCCTCTCCCTCCCCATGTACCTCTCCTCTCCCTCCCCATGTACCTCTCCTCTCCCTCCCCATGTACCTCTCCTCTCCCTCCCCATGTACCTCTCCTCTCCCTCCCCATGTACCTCTCCTCTCCCTCCCCATGTACCTCTCCTCTCCCTCCCCATGTACCTCTCCTCTCCCTCCCCATGTACCTCTCCTCTCCCTCCCCATGTACCTCTCCTCTCCCTCCCCATGTACCTCTCCTCTCCCTCCCCATGTACCTATCCTCTCCCTCCCCCTCCCTGTTTCCCCCCATCCCCTTCCCTGCTTCCCCCCATTCCCCTCCTTGTTTCCCCCCATCCCCTTCCCTGCTTCCCCCCATCCCCCTCCTTGTTTCCCCCCATCCCCTTCCCTGCTTCCCCTCATCCCCCTCCCTGTTTCCCCCCATCCCCTTCCCTGCTTCCCCCATCCCCCTCCCTGTTTCCCCCCATCCCCTTCCCTGCTTCCCCCCATCCCCCTCCCTGTTTCCCCCCATTCCCTTCCCTGCTTCCCCCCATCCCCCTCCCTGTTTCCCCCCATCCCCTTCCCTGCTTCCCCCCATTTCCCTCCCTGTTTCCCCCCATCCCCTTCCTTGCTTCCCCCCATTCCCCTCCTTGTTTCCCCCCATCCCCTTCCCTGCTTCCCCCCATCCCCCTCCTTGTTTCCCCCCATCTCTCTCTCTCTCTCTCCTTGCACCCACACTCTCTATCTCCTTCCTCCCGCATTCTCACTCTCCTTCCTCCCACACACACTCTCTCTCAGTCCTCTTGCCCTCTCACTCTCCTTCCCCCCACCCTCTGCCCTGTTCCCACCTGCCCTCCCAATCCCTGCCTTTCCCTCCCTGCCCTGCCCTTCCCTTCCCCATCCCTTCTCAACCCTTCCCTTCCTTTTCATGCCCTCCCCTTCCCCCTCACTCCTCGCCTTCCGCCCTCTAGTTCCCATGCATGTGCACCCATCACTGTCTCCCCATGCATGCTTTCTTCAGCGCTTGCTTGTATCCCCTTGCGGTTGTTCCCTTGCATCTCACACCACCTCCCACATGTTTCTTCACACAATTTTTTCTGCCTACTCCACTCCCCTAAATTTCAGTGGCAAAACAGAGGAGCAAGATGAGGCACAGCTAGTCGATGATTTACACCATACCACCGCCTGTTTCTTGTGTGTTGTATGCAAGCATGATGTGAGAATTCTGTTGGAGATATCCATGCCAAAGGCACAATATGTACTTTTGTTTCTGCAGTGCAATATAATCTTCCAAAATGCATAGACGCTATTGATTGTACCTTTCTCAAGGCCCTGAAAAAAACATGAGGGGAACTGGTTTCTCTACAAGCATGGCATGGGATGATGGGCTGAGGCGAGTTGCAATATCAGAAAAATCTTCAATGTAGTCACTGCAATAGCGAGAAAGAGGGAGACAACACGAGGGTTTGGGAGGGGCAGCAGCGGGGGAAATGAGGGGAGGTGGGGGGGGGAATGAGGGGAAGCAGGGGGGGGAATGAGGGGAAGCAGGGGGGGGAATGAGGGGAAGCAGGAGGGGAAACGAGGGGAAACAGATTGGGAAGTCCAGGGAAGCAGAGGGGGGAATTGAGGAGAAGCAGGGGTAGAAATGAGGGGAAGCAGCAGGGGAAATGAGGGGAAGCAGGTACAAACAGGGAAAGCAGGGAGGGAAATGAGGGGCAGCAGCGGGGGAAATGAGGGGAGGTGGGGGACGAAATGAGGGGAAGCAGGGGGGGAAATGAGGGGAACCAGGAGGGTACAAACAGGGAAAGTGGGGAGGGAAATGAGGTGAAGCAGGGAGGGAAATGAGGTGAAGCAGGGAGGGAAATGAGTGGCAGCAGCGGGGGAAATGAGGGGAAACAGGGGGGAAAATGAGGGGAAGAAAAGGGGTAAAGTAAATGAGGGGAAGCAAGGGAGGAAAGGCGGGACAGAGAGGTAAGGGGGGAGTGCGGAAGAGAGGAAGGGTGCAAGTGAGGAGATTGGACGAGGGAGGGAACAAGGGGCTAGAAGGGAGGGAAGAGGGGGCTAGCATGGGAGAAGCAAGGGGCTAGGGGGGGGGGTAAACGAGGGGATAGGAGAGGGGAAGAGGAGGAGGAGATAGGAAGAGGGGGTGGAGGAGAAAAGGGGAGAGAAGGATTCCGGGGGATAGGGAAGATGGGGGAGGGAGGGGAGGAGATTGGACGAGGGAGGAGAGGGGAGGGAGGGGATTGGACGAGGGAGGAGAGGGGAGGGAGGGGATTGGACGAGGGAGGAGAGGGGAGGGAGGGGATTGGACGAGGGAGGAGAGGGGAGGGAGGGGATTGGACGAGGGAGGAGAGGGAAGGGAGGAGAGGAACAGCGGCAAGCAGCTGGGGAAAATGAAGGAGAGGAGAGGGAGAAAGGAGGGGAAGCAGGGGGGGAAAGGAGGGGAAGCAAGGGGGGGACGGAGGGGGAGCAGGGGGGGAAAGGAGGGGAAGGAAGGGGGGAAAGGAGGGGGGGCAGGGGGGGAAAGGACGGCAAGCAAGGGGGGAAAGGAGAGGGAGCAGGGAGGGAAAAGAGGGAGCAGGGAGGGAAAGGAGGGGACGCAAGGGGGCAAAGGAGGGGAAGCAGGGAATTAAAGGAGGGGAAGCAGGGAATTAAAGGAGGGGAAGCAGGGAATTAAAGGAGGGGAAGCAGGGAATTAAAGGAGGGGAAGCAGGGAATTAAAGGAGGGGAAGCAGGGAATTAAAGGAGGGGAAGCAAGGGGGGAAAGGAGGAGAAGGAAGAGGAGAAAGGAGGGCAATCAGGGGAGGAAAGGAGGGGAAGCAGGAGTGGAAAGGAGGGGAAGCAGGGGGGAAAAGGAGGGGAAGCAAGGGAGGAAAGGAGGCGAAGGAAGGGGGGAAAGGAGGGGAATCAGGGAATTCGCGCCTCATCTCTTTCCTCGTCATCCCCTTCCGCGCCTCATCCCCTTCCGCGCCTCATCCCCTTCCGCGCCTCATCCCCTTCCGCGCGTCATCCCTTCCCGTGCCTCATCCCCTTCCGCGCGTTTTCCCCTTCCGCGCGTTATCCCCTTCCGTGCGTTATTCCGCTATATCCGTGAGCAGCGCACGCCTGCGCGATGAGGAGCGGCAGCTCGCCAATGCGCCTGCCGCAGATCACGTCACAAGCGGAGCATCTCTCCTGTCGCACGCCAAGCCCCCGATTTTCTTCCCCCCCTTTTCCCCCTCCACCCCCAGTATCTGCTCCTCTCCCCCGCCGTCCGGTGTTGCGTCTGCTGCAAGTTGCGCCAGCGGACATCTCTCCCATCGCGCAATCAGAACCGATTTCCCCCGCCCACGCAGTTTTTCTTCCGCCTCTCCCCTCCCTCTCCGCCTTCCGCAGTCTTCGTGTCGAGTCGTCGCAGTACTCCCATATCGCGCTGTTTCGCCCTCTTATCAACACTCCTTCCATCGACCCCACATGTACAAGTTCTGGCACGTCACCTATGTTTGAACTCTCTGTTGTGGTTAGCTACTGCGGTTATTTCACACGTGAAGTGGTTAGCTTGTTCGATCGTGGTGTTTCCTTCTGAGGTGGTTGGTGCTTTCCGTTTTCGTTTTTGCTGGAAGTTGGATTGTGCAAGGACATTCTCCCCTACTTGATCCTGATTGGCTGGCCAACAATCCTAGCGACACTCATTCCAGTCGCAGCTTATTGCTTTGCAAAGCTGCACAGTATCGTTCACCATCTTGTCACGTTTGGCGAGACTCCTTTCCCCCTCGTCAACCCATCTTTTTCTCGCTACACTGACTTTGCCGAAATTCTTGTTTTCAAGGTTTCGCCAACACTATTTCAAACCCACATAACTTGATATTTTACCATGCTGACCTAGGGCTTTAAATTGATATACAATTTAAAGGTGTAATCGAATGCCTCATTGATGAGGATGCTTGACATTTTTTTTTCACTGTTTGGGCCGCACATGTGCGGCTTCTTCGATGTAGCCACATCACATAGGGGAATCAGTTTGTGGCCTTCTCATTGGCCGAAATCGCACGTTACCACATTGCATCATTAAGATTCGTTTTGTGGCTCGTCAGCGTGCCATCCCACTTCGACACCCTGACACATGCACGGCTCGAGCGCAGGGGTTGCACGGTGGCCCCAGCAGGAACCCCTATTGTTCAACGGGAGGTGTCAAAACATAGAGTTATGTCTATTTCACTCTAGGTTGTGTAGGGGTCATCCCTTAGAGGGTACAACCCAATTCTCTCGACACTCTTGTACTCCCTCTCCCTTACCTAATCACCATTCCTCACCTAGCTAGTGATTCTAACATGGTATTAAGAGCACAATGCTCCTTAGGACCGAATTTTTAAAAGGGCCCACCACTACTATTTCGATCTACTGCCCGAGTCGCGCCCCTAGGAGAAACGCGAAATTCGAAACCGTGCTCTAGGCGAGACGGTTCCTTTTTCTGCCGTAGACGCGATTTTCCTTCCTAGTCACGTGCGACCCCCCCTGACCGCGCCCTAGCTGCCAGTACAGCCCGCGTAGGCCCGTCGCGAAGCCCGTACAGCCCGCGTAGGCCCGTCGCGAAGCCCGTACAGCCCGCGCCAGGCCGTCGCGCAGCCCGTACAGCCCACGTCAGGCTCGCACCCAGCTCGTAAAGCCCGCGCCAGGCTTGCACGCAGCCCTTACAGCCCGCGCCTGGCCCGCACGCGGCCCGTGTTACTGCTGCACTCGCTGCTGCTGCTACACTGCTGCGCCTGAACTGCTGCTGCAGTGCTGCTGCCACCTGTACTGCCCTGCAACTGCTGCTGCTACTTGCTGCAGCTGCTCCTCCTTGCTGCTGCTGCTGCTACTTGCTGCAGCTGCTCCTCCTTGCTACTGCTGCTACAGCTAGTGCTACTCACTGCTGCAGCTACTGACGCTACTCCTGTTACAGCTAGCGCTACTCACTGCTGCTGCTACTGAAGCTAGTGCTGCTATAGCTAGTGCTACTGCTGCTGCTGCTACTACGGCACTTGCTACAGCTGCTACTGACTGAGCTACGGCTGCTACAGCTAGTGCTACTGCTGCAGCTCCTACTCCAGCACTTGCTACAGCTACTATTGACTGAAGCTACTCCAGCTACAGCTAGTGCTACTGCTGCAGCTCCTACTACTGCACTTGCTACAGCTGCTACTGACTGAAGCTACTTCTGCTACAGCTAGTGCTACTGCTGCAGCTCCTACTCCAGCACTTACTGCAGCTGCTCCTGACTGAAGCTACTGCTGCTACAGCTAGTACTACTGCTGCAGCTCCTACTACTTCACTTGCTACAGCTAGTGCTACTGCTGCAGCTCCTACTCCAGCACTTGCTACAGCTGCTCCTGACTGATGCTACTGCTGCTTGACTGAAGCTACTGCTGCTACAGCTAGTACTACTGCTGCAGCTCCTACTACTTCACTTGCTACAGCTAGTGCTACTGCTGCAGCTCCTACTACTGCACTTGCTACAGCTAGTGCTACTGCTGCTCTGCCACTGTGTCCGAGCCGCGCCGCCCAGCCCGAGCTGTCACTGTTGCTGCTACTGCAACTACTACTGCTACAGCTAGTGCTACTCGGTCTACTGCTGCTGATTCTGCTGCTGCTCGGTCTGCTGCTGCTGCCCGAGCCGCCCTGCTACTGTTGCTACTGGAGGGAGTACTGCTGGGAGTGGTGGAGGTGCGGCCTCCCACCCCTACCGAACCGCCTTGCTGCTCTTACTACTGCTGCTGCTGCTACTTGTGCTACTGGGAGTGGAGGAGGTGCTGCTGGGAGTGTAGGAGGTGCTGCTGGCGCTGTAGGAGTTGGAGGTGCTGGACCTACTCCTGACAGTCACTGTCTGTCATGGCCACTTCCGCGGCAGTCGCTGCGGCCAGGGGTGGACAGCAGCGGGCACTGCTTCTCCCGGACGACCCCACCCCTCGGCAGCTTCGTGAGTGGGTTATTCAGCGAGGTCGTCCTGGTGGTGGAGGTTATCGTTCTGTTAAGACCGCTGCTCTTGGTGTTAGTGAGTCTGCTGCCACTCCAGGTGTTAGTCAGTCTGCTGCCACTCCAGGTGTTAGTGAGTCTGCTGCCACTCCAGCTGCTAGTGAGTCTGCTGCAGCTCTAGGTGCCCGTGAGTCTACCGACGCTCTAGTTGCTAGTGCGTCTACTACCACCGGTCCTGCCTCAGCTGAGGTCTTGCACATTTTCACGCTTGACTCCGGCGCGTCACGTTGCTTCTTCCGTGATTGCACCACAGTCACACCACTCACAGCACCTGTCCCAGTCTCACTGGCTGACCCCTCTGGGGGCCCAGTGGTTGCGAGAGCCTCCACGGTCCTCCCTTGTCCAGCAGTCCCCTCCGGCTCTTTGTCAGGTCTCCACCTCCCCACGTTCTCGACGAACTTGGTGAGCAACGCTGCCATTCAGGATGTCTGGGTTGATACCTTTATTCCTCGAGGGCAGCGTGTGGCGATCTGTACGTGCTCCCGGACTGGCCGTCACCTGGCTACGTTCACTCGACAGCCTGGGTCTAGTCTGTACACACTGACCACTGCGTCTGCACAGGTGGCTGAGTCAGGTCAGGTAGCTACGTCGAGTCGAGCGTCTGCGTCAGGGCAGTTAGCTGCGTCTTGCTCGTGCCGAGTACTCACGCACGAGACTCAGCGCTGGCACCACCGTCTTGGTCACCCCTCCCTGCAGCGTCTGCGCCGCATGCACTCCCGGCTCCTGGTCACTGGCCTCCCTGAGACCCTGCCCCCCCTCCCGCGCTCACTTGCGCCGCCGTGCCTTCCTTGCGTCGAGGGGCGGCAGCGCGCCGCTCCTCACTCCTCCGAGTTTCCTCCGACCACTGCTCCTCTGCAGACTCTCCACATGGACGTGTGGGGCCCGGCCCCCGTCGGTGGAACGGACCAGGAGCGCTACTTCCTGCTGGTGGTTGAGGACTACACACGCTACACCACAGTCTTCCCCTTGCGGCGCAAGGCGGATGTCAGTGGTGTCTTGATCCCCTGGATCCGTGCTACTCGTCACCAGCTGCGCGAGCGGTTTCGGC